GCTGTGTTATGAATCCCTAGGGGTATGTATAGATGTCACAGACGTCGATGATGTCATCGATTATCTAAGAAAAAAGAAATCCACATCGACGAACGCACCACATATCAGCACTTTTGTTGATGAAATAACAAAAATGGAAAAGTGTACACAAAGGAGGTTCAAACCCAATATATCGAGAATCCAAAGAATTCGACACGCAAAAATGAACGCAATGGCTCCCACGAAAAAAGACATCAAACTCAACGCCGACAATCAAGAAGACCTATTGAAAATAATACGAGAATTAACGCAAATTATAGAAACGCTAAAAAACAATTAGCTGAGGAAAAAACGAAAAACAATACATAAGCAACCCAACATGGAGCTTCTAATGCTGAGTCTGTCTAGAAGGAAAATCCAGCACAGAAGAAGAGAAGAAGCACCACAGAAGAGCACAGCCGCACGAACCATGACACAAGAAATATTACGCTCTTGCTAAAAAACCTCACGGGAGATTTCGAACCAGAAATCGTACTAAACGAATTACTGTCGAAAAACATGCCAGGGGTGAAATTCACATCATAGTGAAAACAGTATCAGTGAAATTGATGTTTATCCTTTATCTCAGATATGATGTTTTACACATATTTGGACGAGAGAAGAACGTTGAAATTTTGGAAAAAAGTTGTATTTTCCATCTTTTCACGAATAGTCTTGAATGCATGCATCTCATACCAAATCAATACAGAAGGAAATGTTATGACTTGACTCGAATTCATAAGCGGTATCATACAATCGATAACAACGGAATGAATGGCGGCAAAGAGGATGAATCCGGAAAGGTCATTGGGTGAAACATCGAGAAATACAACAGTCCCAGGTATTCGTAAACTTCCTGGAAGGAGGGAAAAGGTTTGCGTTGTTTGTAGCGGGATGAATGGTGGGCTTGTGCGAAGATCACGCACATCATTGCAATAAAGGGTTACACGGTGTATGTATGAGTAGGCATAATGCTAATAAATTGCTTGTGTAAGTAAAAATAAGGAAATATTACATATTTTTAGGGGTCAGATAACTAACTATAAATATTTATAACACCTAAATTTTTTTTAGTCACTTTATAACAGCTACACGATCCACTTGTTCTGTAGTAGATTTGTCTGACGCTTGTCGTGCATCACGGAGTTGTCATCTTGTTCTCAGTACCGATATCGGTTATTTTATTAAAAATTATTCAAAATGAATTACATTTATATTTCATACCACCTGACCTATATAAAACTGATCAAACGATAACGTGCAAAAATACTGTTTGCGAAAGAGAAACTTCTTTCTATGTTTTTTTATCATTGTTTATATTGCTGTTGTTCACATGATTTTCAATAAGTATTGGAATATAATTGACATTACATTACTCTCCCACTCTTCCTCAATACGCTGCATTCTGAATTTTGAAAATATTCTTAGTTTGGTTTCTATGGGCTTTTTTCTAAACCATAGTAAATTTATGAAATTCGTCCGGTATTCTTCGCACAGGCACCCGTTTGACGCTCGGTACTAAAAGGGTTAAATTTCAAGTTATTTTTCTGCAACATGGGGAAAAGTGAAGCGCAGGACAATACGCAAATCATGTGGCTGCGTTCCTTACAATTAGTCCAAATGCCTGTCGACAAATAATGACTAGGAGCCACCGAAGCCATTTCGAAGGACTTTACAGAGTTAAAAGATTTATGGCAGGAAATGAGCCAAGAAGATTTTTGAAAATAAAAGTCCTTTGTTAAACTTGAAGCAAAGAAAAAGTGACTCTGTTAGAGATCACTGCAGTGCCCAAACTAACAGTTCTCCGTGAGCAGTCTACAAGTGAACAACATTGAGCAAGCATTTTAATATACAGAACTTTTCATTTAATAGTCGTAGTACTCCTATTTTATTCAGTATCAAATATAATATTATAACTTAATTTAGTTTAGTTTAGTTTAATTTAAGTTACAGTTATATACGTGTAGTTATGGCGATAAGTAACAATTTTGACATTTTTGACTATTTTCTATGCGTTAATGTGTGATAATTGTGCAATCAAACCGGAAAAAATGGACGCACGGAAGAAGGGACAAACAATGCATAGTGAAGCACGAAATATGGCAAACGGGGTTCTTGACAAATGTAATGAAGAAGCAAGGAAGGGATAACTTCTATATCCAGTACGACAAACCACAACGCGTGCAGCAGATTATGTTGATGTTTCTGAAAGAACAATCTGCAGAAATAGAAAGAAAACCTCTATATCGGCCAGGTAAAAAACACCAATGACACACGGAGAAAAAATTTCATTGCTCTGGGGAACAGAAGAAAATAATAAGAGATACAATCAATGAAGTTTATGTTGAGAAAAAGATCGTTCCGACAGCTCCCTCTTATTCCTGAGATAATCCTGGAATCTTGGCGGATGTAACTATGACTCCCTTAAGGCGGTCGTTTGAGGTGTCGGGTCGGTTCGCCGGTACTAGGATCCGAGACCAGTCCTTAATGAGATCTAGTTTAGCAAGCAGTCCTCTCTTCGCGGGTCCCGCCCACGTGTTGCACCACCGTCTGATGGTGTGAAACTAAGAGCTGCCTCTGCGTTTCACGGCTTTTGGGGTTGCCTCCCCCTTAAGTCGTTGTTTCAACTGGTCCAAAAACAAACAAAAAAGCCTCGGATGGATGGCGCACCCAAGTTAGGTGGCCATCAAAGCGACTCGCCCACTGTCGAGTCTGCTCAAGTTGCTGGAAGCCGGTCTACTAGTTCTGCACAATTGCCGGGTGCCGGGTGTTCCGACGAAACATACTCTTTATAGACTTTTAAAAAGTATAGGCTACAAACGGAAGAAAAGCAACAACATCGCGAAGATTTCCACTGAAAGGCCAAACATTGTTAATTGGCGAATAAAGTATTTAGTGGCTTTGAATTATTATAAAACAAAAGGACGAAATATCATATATTTGGATGAAACATGGGCTGACAACTGCGTTAGTTTTGGAAAATGCTGGCAGAATGAAGACACATTACGGGTTTTAGAAAATCCAAGTGCTTCTCCTCGTTTAAAAGTAGTTCTTCACGCAGAAGGAAAAAGTGGATTTGTGGATGAAGCAATTCTTATATTTAAATCGAGGTCAACGACAGGTGACTGTCACGGTCAAATGAATGCATATAACATTAAAAAATGGATTAGGGAAAAATTACTACCCAACATTCTACCAGCTACAGTAATTGTCATGGGTAATGCCCCATACCACAGCGTACAAGTGAATAAACCACCATCGTTATACTCGACGGAGAAAAGTATCATAGCGTGGTTAATAGAAAATAATATACCTCATGTTGAATAAACGAGAAAATCGGAACTATCGGTACTCATAGAGCGGCATAAAAAATTGAAAAAGACTTATAAAATTGATGAACTTTTGAAAATACATGGTCATAGCGTATTGAGACTGCCATCATATATGCGACCTCAACCCCATAGAATAAGTTTACACTACTGGTGCCAGATGACTTCTTAGCTGCGTATGCCGGACGCAACCAAAAGGTCCAAAACAAAGAAATCATTTACCGGCTTATTGGTTCACTCAAAGGAGTGAAACACAGGCGTACGCTCTTATATCATAAGAACAATCAAGATTACTCATATAGTCACAGGATGTTTGCAATCTTTTGGAAATGTCACTCATAATTAGACAAATTTTCAACAATGCTTCTCAAAATGAAATAAGCAATGTTAAACCAGTTCATTTGTGGAATAGCGCCAAAAGACAAGAAAAAACACCCTACTCGAAGGGGCAACAATAGACAGAAACTTAAAGGAAATAGAGCAAAGGCGCATGCCTCAGGGTGCGCCTATGACTCTCTTAAGGCGGTCGTTTGAGGTGTCGGGTCAGCTTGCCGGTACTAGTATCCGAGAGCAGTCTTTTCGGTTGAGCATAGTTTAGCAAGTGGCTACCTTACCGTTGGTTCCCGTCGTGAGTATCCCCTTCGGGAGCGAAACCGAAAGTCACTGGGCACAACGATCTTGCGGGCTGCCGCCCTGCTCCACCGGACTTTGTCAGCCCTATACACACAAAGAAAGCCTCGGATGGAAAAGCTTTATCAGCAGGCGAGCTCTCAGGCCCATTCGGCCCAACAATAGCATCCGAGAAGCTTAATACCAATGCTCTATACCAATGTCGAAAGCCAGATTGCGTTCAGAGTTTCTCCACCAAAACCGAAAAAGGAGTGCACGAGCAGCGAACCCACAAAAGCTGGTACGATGCACAGACAGTTGGTTTCAACGCCCTCTGGTGATATGGTTCGTGCTAATGTGCCAGGAATTGGAATTCCAGCTGGCAGTGTTGATGCCGTTCCAGCGGAAGGTGCACGTGAAGCACAGGATTATATTCCCCCTGGAAGCTTCGGTCGGATTACAGCAGCCGACCATAATATGTACGAAAGTTACGTATCCCCGTATGTTAACGTCTGGACTAGTTTTGGAAATCAGGAGTCAGAACGAGATAAGGCGTTTTGAAGAGTGGCAACTCTTACCGGATGGTGCGTATCCAGCAGGAACCATTCCAAACATGAACCTGCTGGAATACAGGACTGTGGGGAAAGACTCAATCCCGAAGGCCTACAGGCGATTTCCGGGTTTGAGTTCCCCGACAATGAAAACATGTCAGGAAGGCTCCGTTGGTCCCGGAGCTAGTGGCGCGCGTCTCTGCACACCTACAAAAACTTGGTGGTAGGTATAAGATGAAGATCGGTAGACCAGAACATGGGTCTAATTCCTTTGCTGTGGGGTGGCACACAGTGATCTCCACTGATAGTACTGATGCCGAGAGGAACCGTGGCAGAGTCGTCACTTTCAATGGGCCTGTAAAGAGCAATGTGGCCATGAGCAGTTCACAGTGCAATATAATAGGACTATTCAGATTGAAGCGCGAGCGAACTCCTCACGATAAGGGGCTTTGTTACACCCAGCCTTTGGGTGAACCTCCTGAGGGATGGGACACCACAATTAATAACAACTTTAGTATGGTGGAACCTTTCCTTCCCGAAACTGGATCGGACTTAACGACCTTGCGGACGGCCTTGCACGAGAACGCTAGTCCATCAGGTGATAGGTCACTTGCTATTACAACCTGGAGTAGACGCAATTTCCTAGTCAAAAGGTGGCCAGACTAACCTTCCACTGTCCCGCAATAGCGATGCCAGCCGTTGGCTGAGGATAGTGGTATTGGCGCTCCAGGCAGGGCAAGAAGCCCAAATCACGCTTAACGGCGTTAAATTCTTGAATCAAGCGTTGATTTTCCTGTTCCTTAGCCGGACTCTCGAATACATTAAAGGCCAACGGGGAGTTCCTGGGTCGGCTGGGACGTGAGAGGCATGCGTGTGAGTCGGAGATGTTCGGAGGGATGAATGTCGCGACCCGTCACCGCGTGCGTGCTCTATGTGAGGTCGAGGTGCGATTTCCCGTCGCGCCGGGAGGGAATCTTAGGGATGCGTCGCGGGGGCGTCCTGGCAGTTGCGTCGCTGCGAAGACCAGGGCGCTCCGATACCGCGAGAGGATGGCCATCGTGGGGGTTTTAGTGGGTTTTCAAACCCCACATAACCCTGCCCCGCTCCCTCCCCCAGGGGGGTTGGGTATCTTTTCGAAGATTTCACCCACGTTAAAAAAAAAGAAAAAAAAGAAGGGTATGCGACGAGCAATTGTAAAAAGGAATTTATGTTAGAGTTTAAATCCCTTTTTGGACAATTGGAACTACATAAAAATAACCATTACTATATACTAGACGGTGACCAGAATGCCAAACACGACTCTTGGGGTAACGTCATAAACAATAGCCGAGGTATATCGCTGAATAAGTAAAGCCTCGAAAACCAGGTCCCTTACAGACATTCCGATCATAGAACAGCAGTGCCATCCTATCCGAAAAGTAGGACCTTCATAGACCTCTGCTTAGCGGACAGTCGCATTGTATTCCACGAGACACTCAACCACCACACCCTAGAACTCGTTCGGATATGATAGCGACCATCCAGCAGTGTTGATAGAAATATCGATAGCCTCGAAGGGTACGATAGAAATAGAGGAATCAGTCATCCCGGATCGATACAATTTCCATAAAGCTGACTGGACTAAATTTGCAAAATACTTAACAAAGACTGACATCCAGGACATTCCTAACAACAGAAATCTAAACATAGGAGAAATAAACATCCTCCTCGACAAATTAAACCGCAATATTACCAGCGCAATAGACTTTACTATCCCACGCATAACAAACAGCAACGCGACGGACAAATACCTCACTCCTCGATTCATACAGTTGCGCAGACAAAAAATGTCAGATCATCACGCGACTCAACAGACTCACGAGCCTCGAATCGTACATAAGAAGAAACGATACGGCAATAGCAGCACCTAAAGATTCCCTTAAAAAAGTCAGATACGATATCAAGAAAGTTTTCCACGATTCGGTGAACACCTACTGGAAAAACAAGATCTCCAGTATATCACCGCGTCAATCGTCGAAATTTTTTCCGGCCATCAATAGTATATTCCGACCGAAAGAGGCAAGCAACATAGGAACCCTAAAAATTCCTATGGCGAACGCACACCTCCTTCGGCATACAAACGTACGATTCGACACTCGTCACGCAGACCCCCGACAAGACATCTGTGTTACGGAGACGGAAGACAAACTAAACGTTCTAGGTAATCACTTCGAGACAGTCCACACGAAAAACTTACACATGGGTAAAGAACAGCTTTCCCATATCATTGGACAGAAAACAGACAAATTTGGCTGGACGGTCTCTTCTTTAAACTCATAAAGAGAGGCTTCCCACCGCACCTTGTCGAAATGATCTGGGATGTGCTCCACGGTAAGAAGTTCCGAGTAACGGAAAACAATTGCTCGTCTACAAAAACCTTTGCGATTGAGAATGGCTTGCAACAAGGTACCGTCAACTCTCCCATCTTGTTTAGCATATATATAAATGACTTAACTCCGCATGTACGACCTAAATAACGACCCTGACACATTCGCGGTAGCTTTTGCAGACGACCTTTTAATTTATACGAAAGACAGCAGACCGTCAAAGTTAAAAACGCGATTGCAAGAAATTTTCGGAAGATCTCAAGATTACTTCCACACTTGGAAATTAAAAATTAATACTGAAAAATGCGAAATAATTCTATTCAGACCATACATATCACGACTCTCGAACGCGAACAACGACGTACGAACGCACACCAAACACTTTCAATTACACGACGGGAAAGACGATCGAATAAAGATAGCAAACAAAAATGTGGTTCGATACTTAGGCGTACATCTGGATTACAAACTAAACTTTATAAACCATGTCCAAACGCAAATCGAGAAAGCCCAAGAAGCATTCGCCAATCACAAGCGTCTGTTTTATTCGAAATTGCTAGACGCGAAAACAAAAATTATTTGTTATAAGACACTTGTAAGACCGATACTGACATACGGCTGCCCCGTATGGTTCAACGTAACGGCAAGTACAATAGAGAAGCTCAGGGGTTTTCGAGAGAAAATGCCTCAGAGCTTGTCTAGGCAAATACCGAACTCCGGAGTCAAACTTCACTAAATTAATTAGCAACACCAAACTTTACGAAAGCGCGGAAATAGTTAGAATAGATTTGTTCATGCTCAAATTGATCCGCAATCATTGGGTGAACATTAGATACGTAAAAAGTAATAGTCTAATAAACGGCTCCGTATACCCCAACCCACAGTACTTTGAAAAAACCCGGCAGACGGGATACACGCCGCCAGAAGCTTTCGTATACCTGGATGGTCAAGGGTACATACAGAACAGCGAAAATGTACCCTTGATCTATCAAGTGACTAGGAAAGCCGACAACACGGCAATCTTGTATAACACAGACGGCAATTATGACAA